TTCAACAGTTCTCTGCAGCTGTCTGAGTGCTCTAGGTGGATGGTGAAGGGGTTAAAATGTGCTATTCCTGCATATTGACTATTTAAGTTAAAGACACTTGAAAAATAGCAGATGTGAAAAGATCACATTGACCTTGTGCTGTTTCTCAAAAGCAGAACAAGAAATTCCCATGTGAAAAGTGCTCTTCCTATATTAGAAAGAGGCAACGTCCTTATCCTCAAGGACGGGAAGTCGAAACTGAGAGAATTCTATGCAGACACTGCTGATATAACTCAGAAGTCTCCATATATAATTTAGTTGCTTCTTCACTTTTACTACTCTTTGTCTTACTCACTCTGTATAAGTAATAGATTCTAACTGCCTCTTTAGCTCTTCAGTTTTTTGTTTTTTTTAATGAGGGCTCCCATGCCATATAAAACTTACATTTTGCTTTTCTCCTGTTAATCTAATTTTTGTAAATTTCATTCTCAGACCCAATCGGAATGCTAAGAGGATAGAGGTAGAGTTGTTCTGACCTCCCAAAAGAGAGACGTGATACTACTGGCTGTTAGGATTCACAGGCCAGTTGAGATTAATACATGTGTGGGTCTCCATATCTTTAAAGTGCATTTGTTCCCATTAAAAGAGTAAACATATAGCCATATGGATTATTTAGCACCCTGAATGTTAAAAACAGAAAGACAAAAATTTGTACTTTTAAGGATGGAGAAGTATTACATGGTATGGTTGAAGTAATATTTCTATTCTCCATTAACATGGCAACTTTTTAGGGAAGAGTAACTATTTTTATTTTTTTGGAAAGTCCTTGAAAGAGACTTACAGAGACTGAGGTAAACACTTCAATGTTATATCTGAGGCTGGCATGAAAACCCTTTTGCACTATGGTCATTTAAAGTAAGACTCTTTCTAAATATTAACCAGAGCCATTTTCCAGATTATTTAACTCTGTTACTAAATGTGCTATGAGAAATGAAACTTCTGACTCTTACGCTGCAGTGTTAATGGACTGATTCCTTTTCCTTACAGCATATTGTGGATATTCTGTTCACATGCGTTATGAAGAATAATGATAGCTTTATGCAATATATATTTTTGTAATCTGGGAAAATGTATATTACTTTATATCACATTTGATTTCTCATATAAATTACTGTAGCCCTTTGCAAAACTTTGAAAATCCATCTTTGGAGTTCACTATGTTAGTCATGCCTTTTAGTGTTCTTTATTTGTATTTTGGACAATAATGAAATTACTTAATGTCATTTCGAGTTCATCCCATTACATATACACATGAACTCAGAGCTGGGGTAATTCACTTATGTAGTTCAACATCTCCTTCGTTACAGATGGTAAACGTGCAGATTTCTCCCTCCAGGAAAGAAACTCTTTCATAAAATAATTGCATATTCTGCTCATTTTTTTCTCTTCACTGATGCTTTTGTATCGTTATTACACCCTGTCAGATTAGTAATTAGCACGCAACCTCCATATGACATAAATGCATTTATCTTGCTTTCTTAAAAGCCCCTTTAGCGACTCAAAGCATATTATAGCTCCAGCTGGCCAAAAAGAGATGAAATAAATAATATAACAGGAACAACTGCAAGAGCAAGTGCAGCATCAGGTTGGTGTATTTCTTTTGATCAAAAGGTCAATTTGCAACTGCTCTTTGAAGAGCGTGCTGGTGACAGTGTGCAACCTTTGCAGTAAGATTTTTTTCATTACTTTTTAATAAATAATTGAATTAATAGCCTCAGTCACAATCTGAGGGAGGAAATTAGTTGAAGAAGGAAAGAACTCTGTGATAAACCTTCTAAAAAGGAGAAAAATAAAAGGGTTAATCCATAGGCCAACCTTAAGAGGGACTGAAGACCCCCAAAAAAACTGACCAAAGAGTCTATGCCTAGTAGAGTCAGTTTGAAATTATGTAGATTAGAAATGGAATTACAGGAACAAATTGCTAATTCATATCCATATACGGAGGAAAATTTAGTCTGCTTGGATATCTTTTCAAAAGGAAAATAATTCAATAACAATAACCGAGGTGAAAGTATTCTGTGAAATTTCTATACTGAATAGAATCGGTTATTTAATTTACAAAGTTCAGTGCAAAATGAAAATGCAAGTTTGCTTATTCAAAGTTAAGAATTTCAAATTGTCAAAATAGTGATAGCAGAGCCTTAAACTAGGTTGGGGGAGGGGAATGCAATGAGGATAGGAGCGGATATCGGCGGGGTGGGGGGTTCTAAGTGAGTCTATACAGGTTGCATGTCTATGAATCTTGCTCCTGCAGGTAGCTCCTGGACTGGCCTTAGGCTGCTTTCAAATTAAACCAGCACTGTAAAGAAGAGAGTAAGTACCCTAAATCTGAATGAAGGAGCATCTTAATTCCAATCCTGGCTCCACTGCTGACTATAAGTATGACCCTGGATGAGTTACCTCTCTCAGTCTCAGTCTCCTCATCCACAAAGCAGGGATCACAATAAATGAATAGCACCTTTCAAAGAACCCACCATATAGTGAGTGTTCAACAAATACTGTGTTCACCATCTAACATCATAACACATTGAGTATCCATCAAAGCAGAAAGTAGTTTGCACCTGGACATTTCTGTTTCTTTTGTTTGCTATCCTACTGGTGTTTTACTTAAATTTAGTGTGGTCATATGAAAGAAAATTACTGCCCTTCTGCTATTTAGTTAGCATTTTTATGATTTTTTT